ACTCACAAAGACTTTCCCAGTGCGACAGTCTACCGTGGCGCCACATTATCGCAGGAAGCCCATGCCCAGAATGACGTCGTATGTCGACCGAGGAATAATCACAAACTCTGTCGTTATGACAAGGTCGCCCAAAAATACGTCAGCTCTACACACACCATAGTGTGTGTTGCGCCTTATAGCAATAGGGCGCAACGGCTCTTTCCTAACACCACAGAATGTTGAAGTGTCATCCCAGGTAAAAATAACTTCCTGCCGCAGCACGTCTTTAAAGGAAGCACTCATTACGGAAATCGTTGCATCTGTGTCCATCAGGGCCATCACAGCACATATTCCACAAAAACACGCACTTTGTTTTCAAGCATGCATTCAGGAGGTACTTCTGTCAGTAGCACGTATCCAGTGACTTCAACCCCATCGGCCGCACTAGCTAGTTTTCCGGTGGCGAAGAGGGCGCTTTGTGACGCAGCGGTGATGGAGAACGATCAGCACGAGGTCGCGGTGGATGCGGCAAACTTCTGTCAGATGCCGAGGAGTGGCTGCGGAAGTACTTCGGCCAATAGTTGTCATCAGGTGGTATGTGGACCGGCCGCAGGACACCATGAGGCTGGGCGTAGGCTCGTGAAGAGTCGGATGGCTGGTGATACGGAGGAGTCACCCGACGGTTGCAAAACTGAGATATGTGGCCTGGAACACCGCAGGAACAGCACACCGGCAAAGGTGGAAACGTCAATCGCTCGTCGATGAATCAAGCGTCATCATATGTTCTTCTATAATGGTTATACTGGTCGGGTAAGTCGTAGCGAGATGTCGAGTGTCAAGGAGGCATGCGCTGAGGGCGTCGGTCATACCACAAAGCGGCAAATCGTGTTGTCATCCTTAACAGTGGTGCTGGGCTGCACTCCTTAGTTGCCGTGCTCATCATCGGTTGCCAAGGGGTCAAAGGAGGCACAGCCATAGCCTCACGTGGTAGACACAACTCAGGATGGTCCGCTGTCGAGCGCGAAATTTCTCGGTGGGACAACTCATCGCGAACAATTTGTCGAAGGGTAGAAAAGAGGTCGAGGCCAGAATTCATGTCCACACCAGCAACAGTTGTGACATTAGCCAGCCGACCCAACTTGGGCGCAATTCGACGCATCATGAGCGTTTCAAACGTTCGGCAATGCGGAATGACGTCGGATACAGAATTGGGGCTTTCTTTTTTAAGTAGAAAATTGTTCACGTACTCAGAAATTTCCTTTGAGCAGATGACCAACTTGTCCTTTTTCAACATGGTAGCGCACACTACCTTGCACAGCCTTAACACTTCTTCTATGTAAGTGGTGCATTTCTCACTTGGTAGCTGTGCCCGTTGGGGCAGTGTTTGCTCAGCTCGCTTCTTTTTAGCAGCTGAGCCTCCGAAACACGCCCTCAGCTCTTCAACAAAAATGCCCCACGTCATGAGTGTGTCCTCGTGGTTCCCGTACCACACCAGTGCGGTTTCGGTCAGGGAGAACACCACGTTGGTTAGCTCAGCGGCTGTATCCCAACCATTAGACCTGCTCAATCGCTTGTACTTGGTGAGCCAGGCGTCGACATCTTCTCCGGTTTTTCCTCCATAGGGTGGTGGAACTCGGTACTACGGAAGCGTAACAGATGGTGCTGTCCTGGGAACGTCTGCTTTTTCGGGAATGTTGAAGATGGTCAAGGCAGATGGTGGAAGTCTGGCAAGTCGACGCCTTCGTCGAAGCTGCAGCAGCGATCGTTCCGTAGTTGAAGGCTTACCGAGCACCTCCACCACTATGTTACGCTTGGAGGAGACCGTGAAGGATTAAAAGGGGCCGTTTCTTAGATCGTGAGGGTGAGTTCGAAGCGGCCAACGGCTTAAAGATCCTCCTGAGTCTCTTTTTGCTTTCTAACTTGGAGCTGCAATCACGTTCACCGTAGTGTTCATTGTCTTCGTCCATGTGCGCAAGAATATGTATGAAATCTTGGTACTCTGCATACAAGAGAAGTAGTGTGAGCAGCTTAAAAGGCGGTAATGACGAGTCGGCTTTTTTTCGACGCTACGTATTGTACTGTTAATATTTGGTTGAGCGAGGTACAGTTTTGCTGGCAGGATAGAATGAAGATGGGATTGACTCACCATGTCCAGCGACTGTTTGGCAGTAAGGTGAGCGTGGTCGGTCCACTGGTAGAGAGGCTAGGTGGTGGCGGGAAGTTCGAGCAAGGTGTCGTATATGTGTCCTCTGCACTTCAACACCAATGTGAGTACTGATGAGGCGGTCTCTCGCGATGGAAATAGTTGCCGTTGTTGATGCACTTTGAGGCAAGCCCAGACAAATTCACAGCACTTTGGCCTGGAAAGCTTGCATCTTTCGTACACTTGTTTTCCTTCCGTTGGTATATGCAGGCATGCCGTTGTTGATGCACTTTGAGGCAAGCCCAGACAAATTCACAGCACTTTAGCCTGGAAAGCTTGCATTTTTCGTACACTTGTTTTCCTTCCGTTGGTATATGCAGGCAAGCTGTACTCAAGGAACCTAAGCAAAATAACCCTTCATAGTCGCAACATATTGGCTGTGGACATTTTCGGATTCATTCCAGTGAAGCACTTGCACAAACGACAGACGCCTGTCAACCGCCTTTTTATGTATGATGCATGAGGGCTCCATTAGAGTTCTGTGAATTATAACACCTTATACCGTGCACGATCGGAGGTAACTTATCCTCTACCCGTTTATTGCGACGCTGTAGCTCTCTATTGGTTGGCGCGTGAACGACACAGGCACACATTTCTCAAAAGAAATTTCCGAACCTCGTTTATGGAAGTAAACAGCAGCTTGAGCGACAGCTCTCTGCATTTGGTCTGTAGCAGAAGACGCGTTACTGCAGACGTCTAAACACACAAGTCGTCCGCGTACATTCACAATGTGACAGTACTTCGCAGAGTGATTATGCAGAATGATTATTTATTTATTTAACAATACTGCCAATCTAATCAGAGATTATAGCAGGAAGGCCTTATGAAAGCGAATATTTGTTTGCACAAAGTCATAATGATGGAAAACACAAGAAAAACCCGGAATTACAAAATGGCATACAGATCATAAATTATACATTGCCATTATAACAACACACAATCAAACAATTTTAGTAATAGCCAAATCATGATCTAGGTTATCGCTAAAAACGCCAGCAAAAAGATAACGCATGCAGTTATAATACGGGGTAGGGACTACAAGTAGGTATCTTTATTGAACAACTTATCCAAACTATTTTGTGAACAATAAACTAATCGAAAAACATGTCACTTGAAATATAACGATGATAAAATACGTTAGCGTCATGTTGAATAGCACAGGGCTAAGTACGCAACCCCGGGAAACACCATGGTGGAAGAATGTAGCGAAGTGCCATTCTGTGGTTGTTATGAAAAAGGATCGCTCAGACAGAGCGCTGCGTAGCTACTGCAATTTTCAACCCTCCACTCCTATTTGTTTGGGAGCAGCGAGGATAGCTTCATGAGTTACGTTGTTATACGCCCCTTTATCATCAAGAAATAAGGAAGCGCACATACACTTACGGCTCTTTTTGTTTTGTACGTAGGTGACCAGGTCGACGACGCTATCAACTGATGATCTACTACCGCGAAAGCCTGTTATAGCCTCTGGGCAGATGTTGTGCTGCTCTAGACAGCCTTCTATATGAGAAAAAACAACACTCTATATACGCGCTGACTGAACGATTGATGAAACATTTATACGTTAGTTAAAATTCAAACATGAAACATAGCACGAGAAGGGTTTTTATGACCATACCAATTATATGGGCACTCTCAGCAGGATTTCACCGCCAGCGTTGGCATTGATGCCGACGTCGCCATCACACACACACACACACACACACACACACACACACACACACACACACACACACACACACACACACACACACACACACACACACACACACACACACACATATATATATATATATATATATATATATATATGACGATGCAAGAAAGAAAAAATCTAGAAAGACTCTGGCGCCCGGACTTAAGCTTGAGCCATCTGCATCGTGAGGGCGAGGCGTTAACCACTGAGCCACCGAGGAACACGTCCTTGAACATTCAAATGGCAGGCTATTTATATTTACCACTTCTCGCTGCTGACGGACATATCGGGGAGAATTGTTGTGTTTTCAGCATTACCAGCAAGATGTCGCGATCAGCGCGCGTCGCTCAAAAGTTCCTGGATATTTCTAGGAAAGTACCACCATTCTTTTAACCAAGCTGCCGCGCTCCGCATATTCCTCTCGTGCCTCTCGCCTCTCGGGCTGCGACGAGTATCGCACGCGTTATCAGCGTGACATAGCACTCTTGATAGGAAAGTGGCATGAGCCGGGTTATAAGGCCGGCGGCCGCACGGCGGCTGTTCGGCAGAGGATATAGATTAGGTTTGGACACTTGGGAAAGGAGGGTTGGACACTTTGGAAAGGATATGGAGAAAAATGTTGCTAATTTCTTTATAATAATGGACTTTAGCATCACCCCATCGAGTGGCGGCGCACGCTCTCATCCTCCACGCTTACTTTGCCCCGCCCGGAGGAGGAGGCGACGCTCCCTCGCGCACACTTATATCATGGTGGGATGAATTGCACGTCTCGGCGGGCCTCGCGATTTACCCGTAACAAGTATGTTGCAGTTATCTGGCACACAGAAGTCACTGCAATCATTGCAGTCAGCGTTTGCGAAAAGCGCACGCTTTTCAGACACAGCGAAATAACAACTTAGACGCTTGTTTGCGCGCACCTGTACCTGTGAGTATGTTTTGTGCGTCATTTGTGCGGGAGAAACGCGGGGCGCGTTTCGATCTTATTATCATTCTGTGCGAGACCTTTCAACTTGTTTCTATCGCGTTCGTTGCTTCGCCTTTGCGGCAAAGCTTTGAGTTTTTTGAGAATATGAGAAACGCTCTTTTCTCTTTGCATCTTCACGCTTGCCTGCATATAAAAAGGAAGCCCCTGATCGGAGGACTGTGCCTGGTGGTCTTGTCTGCAGTGGCGACCGTGGCTGTAGCGGTGCAAGTCTACTCCTACCGCTATGGCGCTTTCATCATGATGGGATCACTGCACATAGAGTAAGTTTATGGACAACGTAGTTTTCTTGGTTGAGTAAACTAAACTTAGATTGTAAAAGGACTCACCAGAAGAAAGAGTGAAAGGGTCACGAATGGCGTTGTTTCCCTTTCGCACTTTCTGTGGAGATATTAAGCAGGTCCGAGCAAATATTTCTAACGGGAAGTATTCGCTGCCTTGAATCGAAGTATGAGTACGTCCATCGTTGGCGTCCAAACATTTTTGACGAAATTTGCTGATGGTATTCAGGCTGCATATTTAGGTAAGTCGATTCTAGAGCCGACGTTCTCAATATTGTCGATATGACCATTATAATAACATTGTGTTGCGATGGTCATTCATACATATAGAGGTGAGGATGTGTTCTCCTTCACCTTTTAGAAAATACTTCTTCAAATGGGTCTGAAATATTTATTGATCCAGAGGCGCAGATGCGCAGATGCGCCCGCATTCTCTCCCGACACAAGAAATTTCTTATCACTAACACTTAATATGCCATCAGCAACATGTGGTGGATTATGGAAATAGGCTAAAACCAGAAACCACCCAAGAGAAAAGGAAAACAGTAGAAATAAACACACAGATAAATGCGCTTAGCTCAAAACGGCCTATTGAAGAAAAGATAAGTGTGTTAGGTTCACGTGTGGAAGCCTGAATGTGTAAGGCCTGTTGAATATGGCATATAGGTGTCTTTCCTGCATTTTCTTTATATAACCGTAACAGATTAGGGCTAGAGTACTTGGACTGTTGTAATCTTGGTAGGCTCCAGCCATCCTGAGTAAACTTTAGTCAAGTCACGATGCCGGCTAAGCATAATCGAGTGACTTCTGCTATTGCATTCCGCATTTGCCAGTGGTACTTTCACACTCCGATATCAACAGTAACGAAATGACGTAAACTGGCTTCCACTCGTCTGCCCGCAACTGTCATTTTATGAAGTATTTCTGGGAACCTTGTGAAATACCTCTGTCGATTCACTATTGTTGTTTTATGTACAGCCCCTTTTTTACTTGAGCGATTTTGTTCTTATTTCGTACCAGCGAGTGCGCTAAAAGCTACGCAGGAATGGGAATAACAAATGATCGAGGAGATCCGTTGTGTCGTTAGCACGCGTCTTTGCCTTGAGCATGTTTCTTTTCCTTCGAATGCGCGGCTTACTCTCCGCGTGATCGCGAGCATAGAGTTTCCAAAATTGAACTAGAGGGAATTTTGGCACTGCGATCGTTCAGCGGCCATAGGAATGATAGGTGGTACACGGATTCACCTATTCTTTGTACTCATGGGTGGTGAATCGCACTCGTGGCTTCGCTTATTGCTGTGTTTCAGATGTGTTTCACGGAAAGAATGAATCTTTTTGAATACTGTGACCTGATTTGAAATGGTAAGCCTAAAAATGAAGGTGGTGAAGTGCAACCGCTCAAAATTTGCTTATTTTTGTTGCGTAAAAAAACAGCTCCATACCGCCGAAACACACACGGAGCCAGAAGTGGTACGAAGATCTGTGTGCTGTGTAAAGAAGTACGAATCCGTGTACTAGCCATAATTCCCATGCTCACTGAAACGCATTGCGTTGCAGCTCCCATAGACACTAGTGCCAGTGTTCTCTCTAATTGTGTGTATTTAAGAAACTATGATTGCGAACGCTGGCACGAGGTGGCATCTCGCGGCGGCCACGCTAACTATGCGGCCCACGATACGAAAATTAGATAATGTGCACTTTGTGTATGTGGTGTAATAATTTGGCAATTAGACTTAATTGGTAGAGAGAAGAGGGAGCGATTGCTAGTTGACTTAGAGAACTAATGGGCAGTCTTTTCCGACTATATTATTATTATTTCAATTTCAAACTTCAAAGAGCAAGGAATTCACTATAAAGCAGCTCCGTTAATTGAAGGATTTCTTTGAAAGATATATTTCGAAAAAATCCTTCGAAATTCGGGAAAAGTTAGCTGCGGAAACTAAATGACGTAATTTTCTTCCTATTATATATATATATATATATATATATATATATATATATATATATATATATATATATATATATATATATATATATATATATATATATATATCAGACAATAACGCCGAGGAAAGTATAGGTGAAGATATTAGACCAAATTGTAATGTAAATATGAAGAAAAGTGGGTGAAAAGATAACTTGCCGTGGGCAGGATCTGAACCTGCGACCTTCGAATGACACGTTCGATGCTCTACCACTGAGATAAAGGGGCTGGGGGGATAGCTGTCGTGGTAGCTCAGTGGTAGAGCATCGAACGTGTCATTCGAAGGTCGCAGGTTCAGATCCTGCCCAGAGCAAGTTATCTTTTCACCCACTTTTCTTCATATTTACATTAAAATTTGGTCTAATATCTTCCCCTATACTTTTCTTGGCGTTATTGTCAGTTAGATATAATTAATATTGTGTAAAAACACGGAAAAGCGAGCCCTTTGGTGTACATTTCTTTCGATATATATATATATATATATATATATATAATATATATATATATATATATATATATATGGCGCGGAAGGTGCGGCCTTTCAGAGCCTTTTCTAAACACGTATTGGGTAACTGCTGCAAGCACACTTGCTTGATGCCCGTTACGGCCATAATAATAAAAAAAACGTAGGGTTGTAGGGTGACATTCTCTATGGAAGTTGTCATTCTTCTGGGAAGCGTGGTACCCGCTAAACTATTGCGAGAAATTTTGTGCTAACTGTTCATTCAGTCGCTGACAGCGATGAGGAATTATGCCTGGAGTAGGTATGCGCCACAGTTAATAGCTGAACAAAAACAAGTTTTTGTAATTGGTTTGAGCATTAGACAACCCACTCGTTACGCTATTACAACGCTTTATAAGTCGTAGTACCACGATTGCTTTCACGACAAGCCTGTCTAAGGCAAATTTCTCGACAAGTCCCAAGCACTGGTGTGGTAGAACGTTTGGCTGGCATCCAGTGGATCCTGGTTTGAGCCACGCTGTGTCACTGGTGCTAGGTTTTTTTTAGAATAACGCGCGATGTGGTTACGGACACCGGCAGCGGCGGCGGCGGCGGCGGCGGCGGACAACTGCGGTGCTGCGCGAGGACCAAGTTGTAACGTCATAACTGCTTTCGCTGTCATATATATGACTCATCTCGAATAATCGTTCGTACCTTACTGGTTATGATTCTTGATGCGATCATGTCCTCACGGCCGACCGGTTTGCTCTCGTATTTCGCTACAGAAATATGCAGCCAAAAACGCAGGTAGTAAGTGTTCTCAATGTTCTCTGGTGTGCTGAAATTCATTAAAAGGCGTAGGAAACACCGTTCTTTCCTTTAGGTCATCTTCAGCATCACAACACATCAATGCAAGGCTTTTTAGTGCATATACAAGATGTTTCAAGAAGTGTGTTCAATATATGTTTTTTAATCATCAAAAGGCGCGATTCGCTCGTTGTCTTCACAGTTGGTTTTTTCTGCAGCGGCAGGTATCTTAACAGGATTGACGACACTATTTTGAACAGTAATTAGAGAACTTGAATTATTTACCTTTTTATTTATGGAGTAAGACAGTAAATTCAAATTGGAGCATTGAAGTCCTTCATACGAAGAAACCATTGCCGCTTTGAGATTTCAGAGAAGCTGCTTCCAGTATTAACTGAAAATTATCTTAAGTCTAAACTCTGCGGTGAAACCAAAACCGAAACGCGTAAGAAGGCAACTGCCATATTCGTCCAAAACGTCCAAAATGAGGGAGCGTTGGTATATAGAGACCATCAACCTACTTCGTAGTGTGAGTGTGTGTGCTGCGCTTGCAATTACAGTACGTCATACGCGCATACATTAACGAAATGAGAAAAACTGCAGCCCTATCACCGCAGTTTTTAGCAGTGACGTCATTATAAACATCTGCTTGTTGCGCTCCTCGGCCTTTTGGATTCGGCTTCACCACAGAACCTACAAAAAAATTCATTATATCGCAATTATTGCTAGAGGCCGTTTTTACAAAATCTGAAAGCGGCAATGGGAAATGAATGACGTATATTCTCTTATTTCACTTTGCTGCCCAACTCCACTAATTAAAAACTTCACTAGTTTAGCTTTTTTAATTACTGCTCTAAGCAATTTGTTCAACCCTCCTAAGATGCCCACCGCTACAGGAAAAGTAACTGTGAAGACAGCGAGCGAATAGCGCCTTTTGCTGATTTTTGAGGAATATTGGGCACATTTCTTGAAACACCCTGTATGTGTAGTTAAGCAATCATCACTAAAGGTTTGCGGACACATCAATATAGATATGAAGCAGGAGTATAACTGGGCCTTACGCTCTTATGCCCAATATGTATATATACATTCCGCTCTTTCTGGGAGAGGTCGATGCATTTCATTTTCAGTTTTTCTGCAGAAAGAATAACTTGAAAGGAGGAAGTGGAAGACGATGCATGATAGGCTGGCTTTCTAACGGCCTTCTGTAATTTTCCCTCTTTTTTTAAAGCAAACGTCGAGTTCATCTTATAACTTTTGTGCGTCGACCGCAGTGAACGATGGTCCGGGGTTCACCATTTTGTGAAACGAGCACAGTGAAGCAGCCCCAAAATGTTTCGGGCAGAAGAAGCAGCGCTGTGGCCTTCCACTGTCATCCGCCCTTCACGATGTTTTAATGGCATTCATCACAATTAACCATCATAGACAGTCAACACCAGGTCAGCACGTGCATTCTCTAGAGCACAAAGAAGACGAATTAGCATGGAAAATTCTTGGAAACATTTTGACACGCACACAATGAACGGGAAAACGGAAGGCCACAAGACAAACAGGCGCGAACACACAGCGCACTATTGAAAGAAATAGACGAAATGTATACCCAACGGTAGCTCAAGCGCACATCATTTATTTATTTATTTATTATTTATTTATTTATTTATTATTTGTTTATTTATATATTTCTTTATTTATGTATGGGTGCTGCAATCTCCTGGAGGAATTTTAGCAGGTGGGTACTGGAGACGTAAAT